ACTGCCATCTGTCTACTGTGACACACACTGCTGACTGTGATACAAGTAAAGGCCACAAACGCCTGTACATCATATACAGCTTGAATGTTTTTATACAGCAATTCCGTGAGTGAAAGTGACACGCTGGCACACTTTCTTACTGTTGGGTAATCTTCCAAGATATCAGTAGAAGGTCATTTGTCCTGTTATCAGTCTTTTTGTTTTAAATTATGTCTAAACACATTTAAGGATGAGGCAATAGCTGCTATCAAGGCAGTTGATCTAATTAAATTTGATTTAGTTAATCCCTATATGTAAAATTTATCTGAAAGATGATGTGGGCGATCTGAGGTGCACACAGAGAGGTTCCAGTTCGGCGAGATAAACAGCATTCACAACCAAGCCTGCTGATCTGTCCAGTGATCGAGTCAGATCCTAGGACAAGATTCATTGCTTTCATAAAGGCAACGAGGACAGTGATTATACTAATGGCTTTATTTGTAATGCAATGGAGACAGTAAAAACAATAAATAGTTATGCTAGAGATTTTGATTATCACTGTTAAAAGTACTTGCTGATGCACTAATGGAGTAATGAAGTGTGAAAATGATGCCAAATGGACATGCTGGGCCTGTGCCATGTCAAGATGCATCTTGCAAAGTTCATTAAAAAAAAATTCTACCCTAGCGAGTTCCCTCTTCTCTCTCCAATTAGTAGCAAAATAGTGGAAACATACAGTGACAATGGTTGGACAGCTGAGTGGGCCTGGTACTCTGAAATGGGTCAGCCACTGCAGCTTAACCTGAGCAAACACCATTTGTTTCCTCCTCAACCAAACACAGGACTCAAGAATGTATTACAGATCCACACAATCAGAGAGTGATCATTTTCTCATTTAACTATCAACTAAAGCTGGTGGAGCTTGATCAGTAGGGATAAAGATGGACTACTGAGCAGCCCACCCATGAGCACGCTACCCAGGCCAGTCACAGCAGTTTAGCCTTAGCAGATCCAATGTAGATATAAAGCTGACTCAAGGTGCTGAGTATTAACGCTTTGCTTGAGTGAGGGAAGGAGTTAAAAGCAGCTTTATAATTAGGTCAGTTTAAGGGGTTGGTAGGTTAGGGGTAGAGGAAGGTATCAGCTGTCAGGGGCCCAACAGGGCTGATAACCACTGCACTGATGGGTCAAAACTGCATCTACTGGACTTGCATAGCAATTCCTATCCAACTTTTGGGACACTAAACTGTGTATTAGTGACGGTTTACCCAATGGACACAGCTTAGGTAGGCACGCCCTGTTACTGTTCTTTCATATATCAATAGACTGAACCATTATAACAGTCCCTTTATGTCAGCCATTTTCCAATGCATGTTGTTTCCCCCCCCCTTGCAGTTTTTCATAATGGTAAACAAACATTTCAATGAGCATCTCAACAGTCAACCATCATTTTTACATGTACTGTAATATTTACCTTATGCTTGTGTCATAATGCAGCTGAAAACTGCAAATTCAGATGAAACCTGCATTTCAAGTTATCAAAACTGACTACAAATAGGGGCTTTCATAATGCATAGAAATTAATAAAAAGGAATTTTGGTCTAGATGGAGAAAACCACCTGAAAAAGATTTTTATGTGCTACATCCTGAATCAAGTTTAAACTGAATGGACCTTTAAAATATTTTGTGTGCATGCTTTGAACAGACAAAGATACAGAAAGTCTTGTCTCTAGTGATTTCATCCTTTCATGTCTCTATTCACACAATATTTCAAATGTGAAATTCAAACAAAAAAACATAATGCCTGACTGGCAAAAATGCTTATTCTATGTGCAGTCGATATTCCTTCTTTTTGTACTTCACAATGTTTGTTTTCCAGGTTTCAACACAAAAGAAGGGATTACAGAGTGTATTCTAGCCCTTTCCCTTACTAACATCATATTTCCTGACACTTTTCTCCCCCTTCCTCTCCCTCCTAAGTGTCCTTCCATTTTTGTTAATCAAAAATATATTCACACAATGTCCTCTTCTTCTCCAGCAGATCTGAGAGGCTGATTGGCAATTTCAGCAGCAAAACCATAGTTCAGAGGAAGAGATGGACACAGCCAATCTGAAAGCTCCCTGCCGTTTCCATAGCAACATCAACAAGGGGGCAAGAGAGAGATGTGATCAAATGTGAACACTATTCAGATTTGATAGGCTGATATACAACTCAGTTATTACTACTCCCGTTTGTTGTTCAGCCACAGACATGCAAACATGCATGTTTAAAAAATTATATGTGCACACAGACACTTTACACAGTAACAAGCAGCATCTGGCCTCACTGATAACACTGCCTTATGGTTGTAAAACCATATAAGAGAACGTTTGCCTGCTCCTTTTACAAAGGCTAGCAGCAGGCCTAACTGTCTCCATCTCACACCCTGCTGACTTAAGCATGTCATCATCATAATCATCTTCGCTCGGCCCATTCTGCAGATCTGTCTTGACTTAATAAAACTGTCAGACCACCAACTGGGACTTAAATAAAGACCATGTGAAGGCTGGAGCTGCTGCCTGAAGCAGCTCAGCAGACCGAGTTTTTAAAGACCATGAAATATGACATTAAAAACCTGCAGCTGGATATGAATTGCATTAAACTGACTTTAATAGAAGTTTACAAGACTGAGTTTGGGGCAGGGGGTGGGGAATCTGGTTGGTTGAATTTGACTCTGGTACTGGTCCTTGGTCTTGAATCCTTACAATACACACTGCCAATGAGCTGAGGGAGGTGAGGTGATTACAAAGGCTAGGCCAAGGAGACAATGACAAACAAGTGGAAGTAATTGAGGTCAATTATGGACAGAGTCAAGCTGGGCCAGGTGAGGGAGGCATGGAACAGGAAATGTCAAAATAAAAGCTCAAAACAGGAAGTCACATTGGCTACATATCTGCAATTTCATGGCAGCAGAACTTGGTAAGCAAAGCTGATCATTATACGTAAATTCAACAAATTCTATGAAAACTGACAGTGTTGCATTTCAATCTAGCCTTCCTGTGATGTTTAACAACATTTCACACATGTGTAATAGGATAAAATTACAAAGTGATAACATTTTATATCCCAGAGGTCAATTTTACTGTGACATCATAGTTGATTATTGTGTAGACATGTGGAGAAGAGCTTTGTTACTGATCAGTTTTTCCCTGTAACTAAAAGGTTTGTTACTGTTAGCTACAGTATGAAACAAGTTCTTACCTGCTCTCCTACTTACTGCAGCTAAAAAGATGTTTTGTTTCTTATCATTAGTCATAAGGAAGTGACAATTTTGTTACTCTTATGTTAATATTTCTTGTAGATGAGTTTTGTTGCTTACCGTTTTTGTTACTCACCTATTTTCTGCCTTTGAAGAGAAAAAAATTTGGTACTCACCCGTTTTCTCACACGCCCCTGAGAAGAGTGTTTTCACTAACCCTGTTGTGAAAAGTTTGTTTCCTCCTAAAGTCTTTGGTTCTTTGGACCTGTAGCGAGCTTCTTGCTACCTTGAAGGTGTTGTTTCTTTTTTGTCTGTATGGCTTCTCTGGGACATTAAACACAAATTTACACTTTGAACCACTTGTAGTGGTCCACATACTGAACAGTCAGAATCTGCTTTATTGGCCAGGTGTGTCAGACACACGAGGAATTTGACTCTGGTACTGGTCCTTGGTCTTGAATCCTTACAATACACACTGCCAATGAGCTGAGGGAGGTGAGGTGATTACAAAGGCTAGGCCAAGGAGACAATGACAAACAAGTGGAAGTAATTGAGGTCAATTATGGACAGAGTCAAGCTGGGCCAGGTGAGGGAGGCATGGAACAGGAAATGTCAAAATAAAAGCTCAAAACAGGAAGTCACATTGGCTACATATCTGCAATTTCATGGCAGCAGAACTTGGTAAGCAAAGCTGATCATTATACGTAAATTCAACAAATTCTATGAAAACTGACAGTGTTGCATTTCAATATGGATGTATACTTATAAGCTAGAACTGGGACAGGAATACTTAAGTATTTTAACAGTAATTGATGAGGATGAAAGGACATACTGTACATTTCATGGTTATTTAATAGGATACATTTGGCCAATGCATCTGTAAATTAACAGTTAAAGCCTTACATTAAAGTATATCAAATAATATGAATGATATATATATATATAAACTATTAAAGTATTCTAAATGAATGCAGTCCATCATGTTCATAGGAAAACCAAAATAATCCATATTTTCATTCAAGCCTCGATCTTCAGGAAATCAAAAGCAATAAGATGTTAAACATTTATGCTGGGTCATTAAAGCACATTCAAAGTTTAACAAAGTTTATTACATGTTTATGTACAGACAACTCTGCAAGGCACACCTTTGTTTAAATAAGAATATACAATACAATGTCAAAAACAACTGAGCTTTTTAGTTGAAATATATATTAATATAAGTCTGTTTAGTGCAGGACTGTCATGATTCGGTTCCGCTGCTTCCTTTCCGGCTTTTATTTTGACGTTACTCCCTGTTTTTGTTTCACCTTAGTTTCGGTCTTTTTGCGTTCTTCATCACTCACATTGGTTTCACCTGTTTCGTTATTGTTTGCACCTCTATTTAGGCAGCGTCCTCCCACCAGGACGCTGCCAGATTGTTCTAGACCCCAGCTCTGACTTTCCAGCATTTTCTTCGGTTTTGGTATTTTGTGTTCCGGACTGGGACTCGGACTGGGACTCGGACTGGGACTCGGACTGGGACTCGGACTGAGACTCGGACTGAGACTCGGACTGGGACTGTTACCTTGGTATATTCGTTTCTGCTTTGCCCTCTTGTCTTGGACTGCCACAGTGTATGATATCGGACTTCCCTCAGGACTACGTATTTTGGATCACCTCTGTTTGCTGGCTCTGATCTCGGACTGTTAAGGACATGTGAGTTTTGTGTTTTCACTGTGTCTTGTATGGTTTTTCTTTTGTTCAACGTTAGTTCTCTTAATAAAGAGACAGTTTTGTTTTACTCTTCCTCGTCTGGCCATTTAATTGAGTTCACCTAACACTTTTCGGCTGCATTACGCGCCGTTTCTGACACAGGACACAGAAAAAAGGCCCCAAGTTGTTTATTGACAAATAATTTAGGGGGAAAAAGATTAAACACCTAATGGAGTGAACAACTTAACCTTCAGCTAGTATTTAAATGAACAACGCACCATCAGTGCTTTCTGACGAAGTCTGTTTGTCCTCTCTGGTTGATTCCAAACATTATGTACTATTCAACAGTTTTGGAACCGCTGTCTGTCAAATGATGAGACAGGACTCAGAACACAGCAGCTTCAAATGAAATGAAACAGCAGAGTTGTTTTTGTTAGGAAAATTACACATTTTTATCTGATTTACTGATTAAGCTAAAACACAATAAAACGTTTCATAATATACTTTGTTAGTCATTTGTCTTTGTTAGACCATAGATTATGAGTATGCTTAAAAACATGGGGAAGGAGAACAAGTTGTTCAGCTCCAGTAAAAATATCTGATTTGGTATTTGGAACTTGTCTTTCAAAGTGTAGCTTCTTACATTACATAAAAATTCCAGATAAAGGCAACTTAAGCATCCACAAAAACAGCATTATAGTTTTCTGTACATTGTTCAAAACTATTGATCATGTAGTGCTGTCATCCTGTCACCCCACTAAAGCTGCCTTTATTTAAAAGTATTCAACATCAATCAGGACATTTGTGAAATAACTTCTGTAATGACTGCTCACAGCACATAAAGCAAAGACTGAAAGATAAAGGGATGCTTATGACAAAGGCCTGCTGTGACTCATGAAACAAAACACAACTAAACAATGGTGCAAATAAAATCAAATAGCTGGGACTTAACAGATATTAAAATTCTGTCACAATCACAGTTTGCCATAAAGTGTTCAACCATGACATATTTGACAGACGCCAGATCGATACCTTAGGTGGCTATAAACCTTTGCCATCTGTAAAACCTCTCTTTACCTTACAAGTTCAACAAAGGTCCATCAATGTTACAGATTTCTTTCCATTCCAGAAAAAATATCGGGAGGTGCCGGACCAAATAATAATTTTAGAGGTTAGAAAAAAAAAAGGGACTAATCATCTTTTCCCAAGCTCTGGTGTTTCAGAGTCTTTTGGGCTGTGTGTTTTACTGAATACTCCTATTGTTGATTTTAATGGATGGGTGGCTATTATCATGCTAGGAGGCCAAGTCGCTTGACCTTAGCAGACAGGAAAGAGATGGTCTTAGGACAACAGTGGAGGTCTAGCTGCTGAAAGAGGAGACAGACGGGGAGCAGGGAATGGAAAGGAGGAAAGGTCAGAGGAAATAAAATCAGTTCTATAAAGTATCAAACTGGGTGCATGCCACGTCATTACATGATCAGCATCCTTGCATAGGTGTTGACTAATTTCCAAATGTGAATACACACACACACAAAATTGTTAATGTAAATATTTTTATTTTTTAGTTTTATTTATTTACTTGGTAAAATAAAGGTTAAATAGAATTGAATAAATAACTCAAATTTATAGTGCCAATAATTTAGCAATATTAAAAATGCTACACAGTGACAAAGCCAAATAAACGGTAGCTTACAATCTCAGCCTCGGGGCCCCCAAAGTCGAGGAACATCATGCGAACTCCATCATCTGAGGACATTCTTAGGCGCTCGAAGGGCTGCTGGAGGAGAATACTTTTCCTGACCCCCATCTCTTCTGTGAATAGTGTAAAACCATCATCAATGTGCACTCCCAGGGTACACTCCTTCCCATTCCAACTACAGGCTGAGGGAATCGGGGGGGGAAAAAAATAGCATAGTTACATAAAGGTAGCACAAAGAAAGGCAATGTAATGATTTAAGTGTCAGGTGAAATCATTAACAAATTTTGTTTTACTAAAAAATGATTGTGTAGCCTCTTGGGTTTATCCTGTGAGTGTGATATCTTAGATGGTAAAAATTAAATCCAAAAAATGACAAAGAAAAGAAGCCTAAATTTTTGCAAAAACAAAAAATTAAAAACACCCACGTTCTAATTCTGATATAAAGAACAAAACATTTTTAGATGACTGCAGATTGCTTGTGCACCACCTCATGGAACCAGCAGAGGGCAATGTATATCTACATTCCTACAGTGCACTCTATGTGAACTGGTGCCTGCATAATTAAGTTTTCACAGCTGTTATTGGAATAAAATGTAGGAACTGACTTCACGACTTCAACTAAAAACACCTGTTGCGGGGTTTACTTGAGGTAGGCATGGGCTTATAAGACATATAAGCCTACAGCTGTACTTGAAACACATATGTTTTATCTCCTCAAGCACAAAAAAGGAACAATCATTAACAATTCTTATCCTGCTTTGCGAGACAGGCCCCTTTTATGTCTGCAGAACAGAAACCAAGTGCCCAAGAGGTAATTTTTCTGGATGAAGAGGTACTGTATATTCATCAACATAACTCAAGAGTTTGCACATTTTAGTTTAAGATATCAGCATCTTGTATTTCTCATCTAATACAAAAATTTAAATGGTACTGCATTACCACTAAAATAAAACTTGAACAGTGGCAGAAAACACTGACAAGATTTACTTGTCTAGCATTCATTAGTGTAAAAGACCTGCCAATCAGTGTGAGAGTGGCAGCAGATTCCAGTCTGTGTTTTACTCTCTATTCACATTTAGATCATGGCTTGCGTTTTAACGAAGAGCAATTTTGGGCGATTCAAAAATGTCTGTTGAATGCATTCTCTTTTAGAAGATCTGTACTGAGAAATATAAAGAAACAATGATATACACACATTTTACAGTGATTAAATGTATTGTTGGTAAAGGAATAATATGCATTTCTTAGTTATTACAAATTAATAAGTGCCATTATATGCTTTTGTTTCTGATTCTCATCATAAACACTGAGGATGTTACTCTGAGCTACAATGAGAAGTAACTACTGCAGCATGAATTTATACACCTCAGAATCCTCTCTTGTAGGACTGTAACATACAACTTAATGGTAATTTTGTTACATAAAACCTGTTTAATTCATTAAAAGCAACTTGCAGTACCATGAGCAGATACGTTTTTACAAAGGGCGAGCCCAGTGGGAGTAAAACCTTGAAACCTAATTATGCCATCTTCAACAAACAACGAAAACAACACCACTCAGAGAAAGCTAACACTATTTCTGGCCAGTCTCTTGGGTCCTCTGGTAGCTCAGAACAGAACATGAATTTTCTAGTTGAAGGTGGAGACACTGTGCCAAGCATTAGGAGAGAAACTGAAGGCAAAGAATCTCTGTATCTGTACCCGTGGTGACCTCTTTGATGAGCTCAGCAGCACTGTGGCAGCCCTCCACTAGCAGATGAGTCCAGGCAGACAGCTCCTTGGCAGAATCCACCCGGAACACATGGGTCTCCACGCCTTGCTTGGTGCCCGAACGTAGGCCAAATGACAGCTCAGAGTCCAGGAGAGGAGAACTTTTTCCTGGGCCGGAGTGAACCAGCCTAAAAGAAAGAATGAGACAAACACTGATGAAAAAAGAGGGTAATTAAGATTCACAGAAAAGAATGGGGCCAGAAATGCAGATGAAGGAGTAGACCATGGATGTTTGTGTGCTAAAGAGGTGAAAAGTGAGATGTGGGGTGAGCAGGTGAGAAAGTAGGGTGGAAAAACACATGATTCACAGATTCTGGTTCCACTAATGTTTTCCAAATGAATGTGATGTTACAGCAAATGTCCAGTAGACCGGCTATGGAAAAAGTGAGCATGTGCTCTGAATGGGCCAAAATAAACCATGGGAGGGTGTGTTAGCTCAAAACTCAGGATGGGAGACAGATCTATTGGGTTTATGAAAAAAAAAACTGTTACATTATGTGAATGTTTGTGTAAAGAGAGCAAAACCGAGAGAGCGTAAATGTAGAAGTGAATGAGTGTGCACCTGGTAGTGATGAGTGGGTGACTCTTGGTGGGGTTGTTGAAGCTCTCTCTGCTTTCAGGCAAGGAGGGATACAGGAGCAGGTCTCTGTCTGTCAGAATAGCCAGTACTGGTCGCTCTGGACCCTGAGCCACCTGCACACATGCACATTTAGAGTAGAATTGAAGAATTCATTTAAATTAATTCATATTGTACATTTAGATCTATCATTTATAGGCCATGTATGACACTAAGTGCCAGAAGAAATCAGTATATTTAGCTAAATAGATATATAATTCTATGTACATAATCCTTTTTTATATCTGTGTTGCTGTATGCACTTAAAAATAGAGTGCATGTGCATTGTCTAGAGCTGAAACAGTCAGTTTTCAAGGAAAAACACATTTCAGCTTCACAAATGAGGATTTGTGAGGCTTGTCTTTGTCTTACATGGCAGCAGACAGAATGTCTTTGGCTTCTGAACTGCTGGTCAGACATAGCAAGAGATCTGAAGACATAATTTTGGGCTGTAAAAATTATAATAGGTGTTTTCACATTTTTTGACAAAATGATTTATCACTTATTCAAAAAATAATCCACTGAGTAAATCAGTAATAGAGATAATCATTAGTTGCAGCCCTAATATTGTGAAACAGGATGGAAAACTGTCTGTAGCTCATTACAAAAACATGTAACATAGAAGAACCTTGAATGTCTGTTTTCTTACATACTTGCTCTGCAATCCAACCCAGGTATTTGACCTCCATGCCAGGCTTCATGATCTTCATGTCATCCTTCACTCGTGGTAAAAGGTTGGCAGCCCCAGCCTGTACTGCATTGTACCAGGACTGCGCCATGGCTGGGTCTTTTGCTCGCAGGAACACAGAGTTCTTTCTGTTGGATGAAATCACTTCAAAATACCTAGCAGATGAGATGGGAGAAGAGAGAGACTGTCAGTCAGAGAGGGAAAAATAAGGTGGGAAAAGGGACAGTTAGACAAAAAAAAGATGCATGGCAAAGACAGAGCCTGAGGCTGAAGAGGAAGTTTCAAATATAGGGTGAAAATTCCCTATTGTTTTTAAACAATTTTAATATTTTCAGGTTGAAATTATTATCAGATTATTAATATTTTTTGTTCATAAATGCGTAAATTAAAAACTAAATCCTACATAAAACAGCAAACGTCTCACATATGCGCTACCTGTTTTCTGTGTCCGGGGGGCACTGTTTTCGTGACACCTGGCACATCTTCAGTGGGATGCTGCGAGGCTCCCTGACCTCAGCAGAGGAGAGCTCAGTGCTCTTCTGGGGTGTGGAGGGGGGGGAGTCCCATGGAAGAGCAGCCCCAGGGGACCCGGAGCTTTTAAAGAAGGCTGACATCTCCTTAATGTACTTCACTAAAGTAGGATGACAGAGCATTTGAGAGAGAATTAGATAAAAAAGTAAGAGGATGGCAGAGGAGGGAGAGAAAGGGAATTTTGAGATATGAATATGGAGCCTCCAAGGTTGGAGATGGGTTGAAAATCGTAGCAGAACTTAGGGAGATCTTCAAGAAAACACAGAAAACCATTTCTAAAAATTCGCTCAGTCACTCAGCGGATTTCCTCCAGTTGTGGAGGTGTTGGGGAAACATGACCCAAATTCTTGAGATTTTAGATTTTTTTTTTAACTGTTTTAACTTGCCTGCTACACAACCAGCTGCCCTGTTGGAATAAATAAAGTGACAAATTGATTGAATTTGGTGGGGCACGGTGGTGCAGTGGTTAGCACGGTCACCTCATAGCAAGAAGGTCCTGGGTTATGAACCTGGCGGCCAACTCTTGCCTTTCTCTGAGGAGTCTGAATGTTCTCCTCATACCTGCGTGGATTTCCTCCGGGTGGTCTGGCTTCCTCCCACAGCCAAAAGACATGTGGCTTAGGTTAACTGGCATCTCTAAATTGCCAAGAGGGGTGAATCTGAGAATAGACGGTTGTCTGTTTCTGTGTGTCGGTCCTGTGATAGAGTGACGGCCTGTCCAAGGTGTACCCCACAGCACACCCACTGACTCTGGGATTGGCTCCAGCCCCCCATGACCCTATGCAAGATAATCAGTATAGCTAATGGACAGATGAATGATTTCGGCTCATTTTCAGCAATAAAGACCACCAGTCAATAGCGGTACTTGTGTTTACAGTCAAAGCGTCAGTATTCATACAGTATATCAGTAGTGACATGTTTTTTACTGTACTGTATGTATAAAAACATTATGTGTAAATCCAAAATTACAGGGAACTGGGGGGGTTGACTGTGTTTAACTACACTGCAGGTTTCCCAGGGAATGTGAACTTAGAGAACCATTAATCTATGAATCACTCTATTACACAAATTTTCCTGTGTGATATTTTTGTGCCCATGGTTACAATAATGTATCCTATATTTATTTTAGAAAGTCCTTGTAATTAACATATTATTTCTGCTCTTATGGGTTAGTTTCCATAACCATAACTATAGCAGTTCTCCGTTATTTCATAACTAGTATGTAATTTAAAACAAAATGATTAGCCAATCATTTTTATAACATCTTGAAAAAAAAAATTGGTGCCCTTTAAGTTTGGGACTTCATCTTTTGTTCAGTTGTAATGACATTATTTTATTATATCTAGCAAGTAGTCCCAAATTTAAATAATTGGACAGTTTGGAGGGGCTTCATTAGGCAGTGACAGAGAGAGAGGACTGGAAAAGAGGGAGACAGATGGGAGAAAAGGGTCCCTAGCTGGATTCAGACTCGCTGTTGTCACTGGTCAGCACTCCAACCCTGAAACTACTAGGGGCGCCATAACTGTGTTTTTTGTGGGCTATGGCCTAGTGTCACCAAAATGCTACAAAATCAGTTGCGATTACAGCCTGTTTTCTGCACATCTCCTTTTTAAACCAGTTTTACCAATGGCACACCTACTGTATATACACACACAGAGAAACACATGGCCTCAGCTCCAGCCCAGTAGGCTGTGGTATGGGTTTGGCAGAAGTAGTTACTGCTGGCTGGAGTAAAAATAGCCCAGAGGACATGGGAAGGCATGAGGCTGAAGGCTAAAGGCAGAGCTCTGGTTTCACTGGGGAAGCATCATGGGCTCTTCTTGCACAGTACAAGAGGTATATAGCCAGAGGCCAAGTAGAAAAGTCACAGCAACAGGAGTGAGAGGGGGCTTCCTCCATTCCAAAAAGTAGATGCCCAGCCAGTCAGTCACTCAGGCAGTCTTATCCTTATTTTGTTAAAACATCAAGCCATGACTCAGTTAATTCAATTAAAACCGTGTACTAGTACCAGAAGAGTCCATCTGGAAAGCCTTTGAAAAGGAATGCTGAACACCCTTAACACACTTCCTCACTCTCCGTAAAGCTGCTTTCAAACATTTAATCTGGAACACTGCTCATTTCATTTGCCAGTGTAAGGAATGACTGTTAGCTTTCAAACATCCACTAGTCTTTTGTGGAAAAGTTTCATGCTGACTGTTCAAAAGGTCACGACCGATACAGAGCTCACATGATTAGCATGTGAGAACAGGCACTGCAGGATGCTGTGTATGATGAGCAAGCTGGAAGATTGTTCTCTTGCTCCCACATCCTTGGCATGAACGAACAACACGCAGTGTCAAACCAAGCCATTACAATACAAACATTATGTTTTGAGTCTAGTCTTTCAGTTTTTTCTGTGAAATAAATTGCATTTATTCACACGTGAGCAATGTTCAAAGTGATGCAAAAATGTTCCATGGTTCCAAGTTTATGAAAAGCCTTTCTGGGAAAAAAAAAGGACTCAAGGTCTTTTCCAAACATGATGCCAACTTTTGAAACTGACAGTGCGTTTAGGGTTGACAGTGCATGTCTGTAGGGGGCTTAAGTTGCTGTGAAGAGCATGACCTACATACTGAAAACTAAGTATACAGTACAGTAATTCCTGAGAGTCAGCACAATGTTCACTGTATTCTTGCCTGCAGATCTTTTCTTTCCAAAACTCTTGATCTTTCTCAGTATTATTATCTTCCTCTTATACCTCTCCTCAGAGATGAGGGCCATTCATTTTCTGATTTTCAGTTTCAGAAAGTGAGTGTTTCAAAATGTCAAAACTTAAAACCTAATACAGTTCATTTTCTTTCCAAATACCTACAAATCACTGAAGTGAATAGCTCAAATTTGTGCTCTTTGATCATTGAGAGACAGTTTCTAATAGAAATCCCAGTTTATCCAATTATAAACTGTATTTTTTTAAAGTAAAATTCCACTATGGCTTCAACAACATTTCACACTTGAGAATTTTGGCACTTTGGTTGGGTGAAAAAAAGGGTTTTTATAGAAAAAATATTTATATTTCTCAAAATAACAAGGCAAACACATTTGTTCTGTATTGGTAGCAAAACACAGGTATTATATTGGCACTGGAAACATTTACACTATGTTATTTCTTTCATTCTCTTCAAAATTAAATGTGCTTATATTTACAATATACAAGGACAACAAAACAAGAACAATTTGCATCCATGATGATGTGTAGCGAGGGAGCACAACTCACACGTCTGTCACTACAGACGGTTTCTAGTCTAACATACGCAACACCACAATGCGCTGTTGGATGCTGCTGGATAGCTGTTTTCCACAAGCAGCCAACCTGTCTGTCAAGCCGTTAGCCAGGTGGTAGTTACATTTTAACTTTTGTATTTTATTATGTGGTTGCAAAGTGTGTTGAGACACTGTGGTGTGAGACCACACTTTAATTAAATTTGAAAGGGGTGTAAAAGTAGACATATCTGTACCAAAGTGTTTCAGTATAGGACTTTAGGTTTGGTGCAGATGTGTACTTAATGCAATCTTTAACTGTACTTAACAGTTGGCTTGGTTTGCTTTTGGAATATTTTTTCAAATCTGTGGCAAGTGGCAGAAGGCAGCGCGCCTCAGTACGCTTAGCTTAGCCAAGCCTCTGGCTAGAGAACGCCATGGCCAATGCGAACGAGAAGCCAGAGTTACAAGACCCTTCCATATCATTGAGGCCTCCTGTTAGGAAACATGTCAGCTTACTGGTGAAGTACAACAATGGATAAAGACAAGTGGATAAGACATCTTATTTTCTTATTGTTTTTGTTATCATTCAGTGGTAATCGGGTATGTTGTTGGCCACTCGTCTAAACTTGCTAACTCATGAAACATGAATGACATTGCTGCAAAGAAAAAAGCTCAGTTCAAAGGCTGCTTCATCATTTAAATAGCCTTTTCCTGGTCACTGGTGCACATATTAATAGTCAATTATAGCTGTATTCTATTTTTTATTCTATTTTATTTTACATACTTTATACTGTAACTCCATAATACAGTTTTTTTTTTGCTAATTTTGATGTTTATTGCATTTTTGGTTCCATTGTCAATATGGCAACACATTATTAAAAACTTACGATAAAAGAACAATGGTAGCTTTGTGCCTAACGTATTCTTGCATACTTGCTCTGCAATCCAACCCAGGTATTTGACTTATTTGGTTCTACTACAAACTTTCACTTGCTTATCCGACTCATTTTCAAAACAATTGCATATGTAGACAAAACCAGACACACCGGAAATGTGTAGACTGGCAACAGGTCTCAAGCAGTGAACAACCAATATGTACCAACTACAGCTTTGAAGTAGCCGTCAACTTGCATACGTAATGTTTCATGGAAATGAGCATCTGTCCATTTGTTCTTGTGCCAGCCCATTGATGTCTGTACCATCGGGTAGCCAAATGCTTTCTTGTTGCTGGACCAAGGGCATTTGAAATTGATGTGGTTAATCATAATATGGTAGACTAGGCCACAGGCCTGGGAATGGAGATTGAATTGCTTACAATATTTTTTCAAGTGGAATCCATCATAGCAGAGTTCCTAAACTATACAACCACAGAATAAGGAAGAGATGCAAGATTAAGTCCTTAAATCCTCTGGTGGGTAGCAGCAGGGTAACGGACAGGACTACTATATCAGTGATAGTTATCTATATGTGATGACACTTTGTGCAATACAGGTGTGTTTCTTAAAATCTTGGTCTGAGAAAGTCATGAGAGAGCACAAGCATGGCTGTAGGTGCTAATATCTGGCAAGCAGACAGAGTACTATTCTCAGTGGTCATTACTCTGTTATGCCAGACTAAGTTTATGCCTGTGTTTCAAGCTGCACAGACTGCAATACAGGATGGGCTGGGAGAAAACACCAATTATAGCAGGTTTAAGGAGATGTTTGCCTTTGTAAAGAGGCTTTACTGTTTTCAACAAAGCAGTGTTTAAATAATCGCATTTCTGTTTCCTATATTAGAAACATTAGCCATTAGCTTTGGCTGCACACAACAAATCGGACAAGACAGCTTTCAAACAGTGGTGAATGAAAATAAGAGGAC